ATCTGGGTCCCTCTCAGGTTTGGTCTTGGCTGGGTCTTGTGTGAGACTCTTGGACTGCTTCCTTGTCTCTCTCCGGCGGCTCTTCTGTGGCTGCAGTCCCGGCTTCAGCTGTTTCTGAGGGCTCCCGGGTCTCGAGGCGGTTGCTCGTAGGTTTGTGTGGGAGTCTGAACTTTGCCATGATGGTCTACCTGCCGGGCGGGGTTTGGCTTCGTCGACTGTTCTGGTTCCTTCGGGGACACCCCCTTGCGATCGCTGGGTTCGGACTCCGGGTGCCTTACTTTGGATGTTGCATCGCCGGGTTCCTCTTCAGGTTTTTCGGGGTTCAGTGCCTTGGCGCCTACCTGAGCCCTCACTTGATGTGTTAACAGATGCGTCATTTCTTGGCTGGGGCTTTGTGACCAGGGCTCACCAGGCTGGCCAGGGGAAGTGGAGTCCGTCTTCTGTCGAGAACACAGCACGGTGCAGGAGTTTGTGGCCATGAGGATGTTACTCAGAAGAGTTCGGGTCACTCGCGGATCAACGATCCAGCTCCATTTGGACTGTTTCCCGGTGGTTCATTGCCTGAATCATGGGGGCTTTATGTGGTCCTTGGCTCTTTGGGGCTGGTTGCTTCGGGTGAATCGTCTGCTGAGTTTTCAGAGTTTGGCTTTCTTGGCCGTTCACATTTAGGGGGGTGTCCAACATCCTGGTGGACAGCCTGTCATGGTTCATTCCCTTGTCCACGGAATGGACGGTTGATGCCGACTCGTTCAGTTGGCTCTGCCGGACGTACGGGCTCCAGGAGGTGCCCCCCTCCCCCCTGCCATTCTGCTGTTGCTCCAAGTCCTAGCTCGCTTGGAGACTTATCAAGGGAGAGTAATCCTTTTGGCTCCTTGGTGGCCGGCCCAGCCTTGATTTCAGGCACTGCTTGCTCGGTGTCCAAACCCAGGGGTGTTCCCGCAGCCTCTTTCAGCAGATTCTTGAGGTTATCTTGAGATGATTTCGGGGCTTTTAGTGTCCCCGCGGCCTGGTCCTCGACCAGGCCTCCACCCCCAGGAAGCAGCCCGTGACAGCTGACTAACACCCAGGTACCTAATTTACTGCTAGGTAACAGGGGCATAGGGTGAAAGAAACTCTGCCCATTGTTTCTCGCCGGCACCTGGGATCGAACCCAGGACCACAGGATCACAAGTCCCGCATGCTGTCCGTTCGGCCGACTGGCTCCCTATTAGGCCAGATTAGATTAGGCCAGTCTGTTACATGGCTGGTTCGATCTTCCCCTCAAGTCTTTGCATCTGGTTTTTCTGACACGGATCTATCACAATTTGTATGGTGACCAGGTGGCTTCGTTGATGGTGTCCCGCCTGTGTTGTCCGCAGAGTTTCGGTCCAGGCAGCCTGTGGTCTATCCTCGTGCCCACGACGTTCGTAAGTTTGCTACTTTGGCTGCCGTCTTTGGTAACATATCTTGGGCTGACATTCGAGCGCGAGGTTTTTGGAGGTCGGACAGGGTCCTGGCTGCTCGATACCTTGTCAATGTTCCTGGCCCTTAGTCGGGCGTGTGTTGTAGTGGGTCGATGGTTGCAGCCAGTTGTCTAGACTTCAAGTTGAGGAGCGAGTGGCGACTGCCTCCCGGGTAAGTCCCTCTTGTTTTATCTTTGGTTAAGTTGCCCTGGGGAGCTGAAGCGACTTTCCCTAGAAAGCCAGTGTAGAATGTAATGAAATACCATTTTCTGAGTGAGACCTGGAGGCTCCCCACCAACCCTCCCTCCCTCCCCTCCCTCCGGCTGGCAGTTTTTCATGGGTTTTTGACATCCAGCTTCAGAACTGGGGGCTTATAGCTGGCACAGGGGTCTGGGGCTCTCCCATTCCCCTCCCGGGAAGGTGGGATTTGCGCAGACAGTGGCGCGGCGACAGTTGTGACTTCATGCTCGTTTGCTCGTTTTGAATTCTGTCCAACAGTTCAGCTTTCAGCAGCAATATTTTAACCAGAATAGTGGTTTGTTTTGGGGTGCCTATCTTTCTGGGTGCCTGACTCGGTCAATGGCAGACATAGAATGCTTCCAACCACACAGGGTTATTGGCATTGCTCCTCATGCCTCTCTGAGGGGGCCAGGTTCTGGCTCGTGGTCCCCGGTAGGCTTAAGAACTCCATTCGCTTGACTGATGCCAGGGTCTAATACATTCATATCAGCCCAGATAGCTCTGGGAAGCCTCTGGGTCTCGCCCAGAAAATGGCGTTTCATTACATTTAACGCTAGTTGTTTCTTTTAGCCCTGGAAGTACTGTGTCTCATTTGGAACCAGTGGAATCTGATTTATGTTTCAACTGGTCCAGATGCTTGTGTTCCTTCCTTCAAGACACACTTCTTCTTGACCTTGATGGTGGGCAGTATTTTTTGCAAGATTTGTGCATCTTTATTCTTGTAACTCTTCTGTATCTAAGAATAAAATTAGTGCATTCATGAAGAGTTCAAACATGGTTTAGTTTCGGTACTTCCAGTCTGTGGTGCAGCATGTACTTTGTTCAGTGTGGCTTGATGATTTATTTTGATGGCCCAAGAGCCGAGAGTTTCAGAAGTCAACGTGTACGTTTACCCATCCGTGCCACCCCAAGGTACCACCTGCATTTGACTCCATCTGCTCCTCCACTTGTATTTAGTGAAGGACTGATATGAAGTCCTAAATGCTGGTATGAAGCATTTATGACTAAATGCTGCATACCAACATTTATTCAGGGTCAGGCTTTTATCTATTGATGAGTATCTTCTCTTCTGGAGTAGTTGGATGCCAGGTAGATGCAGCTGATTTGGCTCTAGCTATTTCTTGACGTAGGTGAGCCTTACCTTGTTTGTTATATAGCGTTTCTTTAGATACACTTACACTAGAGAGCAAAATAGTGGGAGAGCTTAGAAATCTGGTTTTGAGTTCATCTGAAAAGCATTTTTCAGAGCAGTACTTTTTGTTGCTCCCTTTTGCTATCTATCTCTTGATTTCCTGTTGGTGATTTGTTCTTCGCCTCAGAGCTCTGGAGAACACAAAGAATATTTTTGTATTCCAATGTCAGCACCAATTCTATTGGTGGTGTCATCTCTCACCAGTATGGGCTAGTGACCTAGTGTGGTATTGGTGGTGTCATCTCTCACCAGTATGGGCTAGTGACCTAGTGTGGTATTGGTGGTGTCATCTCTCACCAGTATGGGCTAGTGACCTAGTGTGGTATTGGTGGTGTCATCTCTCACCAGTATGGGCTAGTGACCTAGTGTGGTATTGGTGGTGTCATCTCTCACCAGTATGGGCTAGTGACCTAGTGTGGTATTGGTGGTGTCATCTCTCACCAGTATGGGCTAGTGACCTAGTGTGGTATTGGTGGTGTCATCTCTCACCAGTATGGGCTAGTGACCTAGTGTGGTATTGGTGGTGTCATCTCTCACCAGTATGGGCTAGTGACCTAGTGTGGTATTGGTGGTGTCATCTCTCACCAGTATGGGCTAGTGACCTAGTGTGGTATTGGTGGTGTCATCTCTCACCAGTATGGGCTAGTGACCTAGTGTGGTATTCAGTAGTTAATTAAGAGTGCTATTTGCTGGTACTTGTGATGCAAAGTTGCTCTTTTTCAGGTTATCTTGATATGATTTTGGGGCTTAGCGTCTCCGCGGCCCGGTCCTCAACCAGACCTCCTTTTTGTTACACTCCCCCCCCCCAGGAAGCAGCTGAGCAGCTGTCTAACTCCCAGGTACCTATTTATTGCTAGGTGAACAGATGCATCAGGGTGAAAGAAACGGCCCAATTGTCTCCGCCTCCACCGGGGATCGAACCCAGAACCTCAGGACTACGAATCCGAAGCGCTGTCCACTCAGCTGTCAGGCCTCTTAGAAAGGCTTTTTAATTTTGATCTGAGCTTTACTGAGTATTGTCCATTGTCTGCCAAGCCCCAGTATAACCTGGTGTGAACAGTTTATAAAGTTCGTGGCTGTGGTAGTGCGGCATGTCAACTTGACTGCACAAGATCCTAACTAAAGATCAGTAGGAACTAGCCCAAGGAACAACAGTGCACAGTATTGGTCAGAAACTGGCTTCTCATATGTACTCAAAGCTTGAGTACAGGTATTTAAGATTTTTAAGCTACAGATTTTCGACAGGTATTTAAGTAAAATACACAGTAAATGGTTTAAAATATAAATTTATAAACAGGTTTGTTTACCTGTCAGTTAATCTACTTGTCATTATTAAGTTTCCCTGTTCTTAACTATTAGTTTTACATCTTGGTGTATACATGTTTTGATCACCTGTGATGATCAAAACTCAAATCTAATTATTTGAGCTCCACCTCCTGCTATTTGTACCTAGTGTCTTAAAGTCTATTTCTTTATCATATTTGCTCCTAATTGGTCAGTTTAGCCCTAGTTTCCAGTCCTAGTAACCCTTGGCCTCAATTGGTCTCCTCTCCATATGTTTATCTGTCCCGGATGATCTGCAGTTGGAGTTACTTGGACTCCTTCAGGGTCTTCACTTTTTATTTTTTAGTGTGCTTGTTCCTCGAGCTGTATGGACGCAGGTTGTGGATCACTTCTCCCAACCACTTGGGCTGGATGGTAGAGTGACGGTCTCGCTTCATGCAGGTCGGCATTCAATCCCTGACTGTCCAAGTGGTTGGGCACCATTCCTTTCCCCCTGTCCCATCCCTTATCCAGTGCTAAATATCCTGATCCTGATCCCTTCCCAGTGCTAAATAGTCGTAATGGCTTGGCACTTTCCCCATTATTTAAATTTGCAAAAAAAATTTCACCAGAATACGGCTGAGTGGCATTTCTTTCAGCACTTTATGCACATTCATAGATCATTCACCTTGATCATTGAAGCATCCACAGCTTGCGTGGTAGAGCAACGGTCTCGTACTGTTATGGCCCGAGTTCAATCTCCAATGTTCCGAGTGAATGAAATAAAAAATTAATGGGAGATTTATCAAAGTTGAAATTACCAAAAAAAAATTCATGTGCAATTTTATTTTCTATATTTTCAGGAGATCGATGGAAAGGCTTTGTTATTACTCAACAGTGACATGATGATGAAGTATATGGGACTTAAGCTTGGTCCTGCTCTCAAGATCTGTAACCTCATTAACAAGATACGTGGACGTAAACACTTGGTCACGTAAACGGTGCAACTAAAAACTACGGGTTGTCTGGAGCGGTATGTTGCTGCCTTGTCGGAGGATGTTTACTTTATGAAGGTGTGGTTTGTGTAGTTGATGCTGTACCAGGAATAATGGGGTACAGAGAGTTGGTGCTGTGCCAGGAATAATGGGGTACAGAGTTGATGCTGCGGCAGGAATAATGGGGTACAGAGAGTTGATGCCATGCCAGGAACAATGGGGCACAGAGTTGGTGCTGTGCCAGGAATAATGGGGCAGAGAGAGTTGATGTCATGCCAGGAATAATGGGGCAGAGAGAGTTGATGTCATGCCAGGAATAATGGGGCACAGAGTTGATGCCATACCAGGAACAATGGGGCACAAAGTTGATGCCATGCCAGGAATAATGGGGCACAGAGTTGATGTCATGCCAGGAATAATGGGGCATAGAGTTGATGCCATGTCAGGAATAATGGGGCAGAGAGAGTTGATGCCATGCCAGGAATAATGAGGCAGAGAGAGTTGATGCCATGCCAGGAATAATGGGGCAGAGAGAGTTGATGGTGTGCCAAGGATAATTGGCCAAGAGGGAAGCTGTTCACCTACACTCGGGGCATCGTGATGGTCTGTGTCCACAGTTATCATTCTTATCCAAAACTTACGCAGAAAGTAATTATTTTAAATATCCAGTGCACTTTTTTATTTATTTATTTATTTATTTATTTATGTATTTATATTAATTATCAATTTAATTTCTGTTTGGGTAAATTGGCATCATCCTTGAAGGAAAACTTTTGTCAATATAGATAGTTAAAAATATATAATGACAGACTGTACTTGTTTCTTTCTAATTACACCCTTGGTAATCAACATGTGTATGTTGTTTTATGTTTAACAAAATGTAATTTTAAATGATATAGTTTTGCATTTGTTGAGATATGTAGTTAATTGTTTCCACTGTCATGTGGTGGTCACTAAAATAAATATACTCTAATTATACAGTTGTGAATGGTGAGGAAACTTTAATTTGGTCATAACAACTGGAAATGTGTAACTGGTATTATCAAATGTTATGTACCTGTATAGTGTTGGCAGATGAGTCTAAATACTGTACTCTTGTTTATGGCAATTGCTGTACATTTATTTTTGATGCAGAGAATAAGTCACAATAACATTGCTGAAAATAACTAACTAACTCACACAAGTGAAAAGAAAGCAAAGCGACGACCTTTCAGTCCATCCCGAGTCCTTAATGAGGAATATGACGTGATGAGGGTCCGGGACAGTCCATCCCGAGCCCTAAATGAGGGTCCGGGACAGTCCATCCCGAGCCCTTAATGAGGGGTCTGGGTCAGTCCATCCCAGGGCCTTGGATGTAATATGACATGATGAGGGTCCGGGATGGACTGAAACATCCCCACTTTCTTTTCATTTTGTGTGTTGGTTGGGTTGTTTGTTTTGATATAAAATTGTAAATATTTCAGTATACAAAGACAATGTATTAGAAATATGTTTGTGAGGAAAAGGTATGACTAGAAAGTGTACACAGTTTATTTTGGTGTTCTAAAAATACAACTAATAATGGAGAAGAGAGAATACAGGAGCAAGACTTAAGGCATTCATCTGAATTACAGAGAGCACAGAAAATACAAGAGCGAGACGAGACTAGATAAAACAATAAGGAATGCGGGAAATGTCACAATAATTTGACTGAAATACACAACCCGCTCTCGCACAAGACAGCACATATAGGACTTATTGCTTATAGTCACTATTTTGCTTATACATGAGTATATATGTGACATATATACTTATGTATAAGTATATATTCCAAGTATGTAATATAAGTATTCTATACTTATTGTATAGAATACAATAAGTATTTCAAGTATACTTATGTATAAGTATATATTATATATATGGAATATCCAAGCCATATTTTTTCCAAAGCACTAACTCTTCCTCTCAGTTTTATTAAACAATAGAGATTTTATACAAAATTTGACAATATCCTGAGTTACTTTACAATTTATTTAAATATTTTAGTTTTATTATTTTTTTGAAACTGTAATATCAATATAGGTATAGGTTTTTTTCAGTACTAATTGTAATATCTTAACATACTAAGAAGGTTAGGTTAGGTCGGTGTTTTCTATCCAGCATTTCAAGGTAAACTCAAATATTCACAATAAATTAGTATGTCACATATGCACTTATTCATATGCCAAATATTGACTATAAGCAAGTGCGAGAACGGGTTGCAATACGACTCTTAAGGATCGAGGATTGACCAAAACCTCATCACTTTCACCAAGGAATGTTTAAATGGCTTTAATATACTTAGATATAGTTATGTAAATAAACTATGTGGTAAGCCTGTCACTGATTTGATCATCAATTGTGTACGTGTGTGAATTTCTCTGTTAACAACTAGGATATTGATTTTATAAACATAGTTTGGAAATGTGTTGGTTTCCCATTATCTGGAATAGGAAGTGTGTTTAAGTTATCCTGGTCACCCCCAGGGACTAGGCCAATGATTGACCTTCACCAGGATGCAAACTACAACAGTTGCCTAACTCCCATTTACTGCTAAGTGAACAGTGGCATCAGGTGTAAGTAAACGTGACCAAACATCTTGCCCTTCCCGGGACTCAATCAGCAACCATTGAGTTGTGTTGTAACCCATTGTGATGTGAGGTATGCACTATAGCCTTAGTTCAATGTTAGAATGTACATCTTTGCATATCACTGAATATTTTGTAATGACCATTCATTAAGTGCATGTAGTTGATGTTATGAAGCATTGTAAATAAAATTATTTATGTATCTGTACTTTGCAACTGAGGCATAATTATTCCAAGTAAGACCAGCAGGTGGCTTAATACCTGCTACACTTAGTAGCAGGTATTAATACCTGCTACTGCTACTATACCTTAATACCTGTAACTACACTTAGGTAATTACCTAAGTGTAGTTACAGGATGAGAGCTACGCTTGTGGTGTCCCGTCTTCCCAGCACTCTTTGTCATATAATCCTTTGAAATTACTGACAGTCTTGGCCTCCACCACTACCACCTCACCTAACTTGTTCCAACCGTCTACCACTCTGTTTTTACAAAAATGAATTTTCTTATACTGTAATCCTCCGGCAGCTTTGTTTTGTAAGTTTAAATCTATGACGTCTTGTCCTTGAAGTTCCAGGTCTCAGAAATTCTTCCCTGTCAATTTTATTGATTCCTGTTACTATTTTGTATATAGTGATCATATCGCCTCTTTTTCTTCTGTCTTCTAGTTTTGGCATATTTAATGCCTCTAACCTCTCCTCGTAGCTCTTGTCCTTCAGTTCTGGGAGCCACTTAGTAGCATGTCTTTGCACCTTTTCCAGTTTGTTGATGTGCTTTTTAAGATATGGGCACCACACAACTGCTGCATATTCCAGCTTTGGTCATACAAAAGTCGTGAACAATTTCTTTAGTATTTCTCTATCCATGTATTTAAAAGCAATTCTGGTTAGAAAGTGTAGCATAGGCTCCTCATACAACGTTCTTAATGTGGTCCTCAGGTGGTATTTTTTTTTTTTATCTAGAACCACCCCTAGATCTCTTTCTTTTCAGAAGTCTTTAAAGATTTTCCACATAATTTATAGGTTGTGTGGGCTATATGTTCTCCTGTTCCACATTCCATAACATTGCATTTATTTACACTAAATTCCATTTGCCAAGCGGTGCTCCGTATACTTATTTTGTCCAGGTCTTCTTGAAGAGCATGACGATCATCTAAGTTTCTTATCTTCCCTATTATCTTAGCATCATCAGCAAGCATGTTCATATAATTCTATATTCCATCTGGTAGATCGTTTATGTAGACAATGAACATCACCGGTGCAAGAACTGAACCCTGTGGTACTCCACTTGACATTTCTCCAATCTGATACATTGCCTCTGATACACTGCCCTCCTTTTTCTGTCTGAAAATTTTTCATCCATGTTAGAAACTTATCTGTCACCCCTCCTATATGTTCCAGTTTCCAGAACAACCTCTTATGTGGAACTCTGTCGAAAGCCTTTTCTGGGGGAAGCCCTGTCGGCTCCCCAGAGCTATCCAGCCTGATATTGCTAATATTAGACATTGGCATTATTCAGTGTAAATGGAGTTCTTTAAGCCTACCGGGGACCACGAGCCAGAACCTGGCCCCCTCAGAGAGGCATGAGGATGGCCTATAGAAACCCCCCATGTGGTTGGAAGCATTCTACTGTTTAACCCAACAGGAAAATGCGTACCTGGATGGTAAATGATTTTTAGCGAGGTTGTATTCCAGGGAACATAGGACTTGCCCGAAATGCTACACATACTAGTTGCTGTACAAGAGTGTAAGAACTCTTGCATATATAAATAAATAAATAAATAAATGTCTGCCATTGACCGGGTCAGGCACCCAGAAAGGTAAGCATCCCAAAACAAACCCCTATGCTGGTTAAGAAATTACTACTAAGAGCTGAACTAGTGGACAGAACTCTACAAAAACGAGCTAACGAGCATGATGTCGCCGCTCTGCAATCTGCACAGGGAGGGCGGAAGGGTGAGCCCCTGACCCCTGGCACCGGCTACCCACGCCTCCAGTTCTAAGGCTGATGCACTAGGCCAAAGTCATGTGCTCTGGCTCCGGTTGTTTGTCTTCAGCTATGTGCCCTTGTGGCACATAGGGGGCGCGCGAGCCAGGAGTAATTCGTCAGTACTCGGGCTGCGTGCACCTAGAGCTCCCTTCCCTAGGTGCCCTGTAAGTACTGCCCATGGGGCTTGGGGCCCACCTTCCACAAGTAACTTGGGTTCTGCCTCTGGTCATTTGCTGCTTGGCTTTCAGCCACCTTTTATGTGTTGGGGTGTTCTGACTCCCTTGTTCGCCTTACGGTAAGGGGCAATTTGCACTGGCAGGGAATAGGGTACTGCCCAGTTAGTTTTCACCTATCATGGCGGCCGGCTTTGTCCCGCCTGGGTACATTGTCCTCTTGCAGGGTTTTAATTTTGTTTCTGTTTTCACTGCCAGGTGGAGGGTGTGCCTTTGGATGAGTATGGGGTGCACAATAACTCGCTCACAGGATGAGTATGGGTTGCACAATAAACTACCACTCAGGATGAGTATGGGGTGTACAATAAACTTGCAGAATGAGTATGGGGTGCACAATAAACTACTCACAGGACGGGTATGGGATGCACAATAAACTAGCACTCACAGGATGAGTATGGGGTGCACAATAAGCTAGCACTCACAGGATGAGTATGGGGTGCACAATAAACTAGCACTCACAGGATGAGTATGGGGTGCACAATAAACTAGCACTCGCAGGATGAGTATGGGGTGCACAATAAGCTACCGCTCACAGGATGAGTATGGGGTGCACAATAAGCTACTGCTCACAGGATGAGTATGGGGTGCACAATAAGCTACTGCTCACAGGATGAGTATGGGGTGCACAATAAGCTACCGCTCACAGGATGAGTATGGGGTGCACAATAAGCTACTGCTCACAGGATGAGTATGGGGTGCACAATAAGCTACTGCTCACAGGATGAGTATGGGGTGCACAATAAGCTACTGCTCACAGGATGAGTATGGGGTGCACAATAAGCTACTGCTCACAGGATGAGTATGGGGTGCACAATAAGCTACCACTCTGCCAGCAAACTTTAAGATTAAAGTTCTTGAGGGGAAAAAAAAAAGACTAATCCTCATCTGCTACGTAATACTGCACATATGCATATAGAAGCAAACTCTGCATTTGACAGCTTCACATACTTCACAGATGGATCAGTAGACCAGCAGGGACAAGAAACCAGAGCTGGAGTTAAGGCGAAAATTCTGTAAATAGTTGGAGACACTCAAACGAGTGTTCGACTTTACAAACAGAGATGCTAGCCATTCAAAAGGCTTTGGAACATGATCTTGTTGAACACCATCAACATGTTATCATACATACAGATTCGAGAACTGCCATTGAAACCTAGCAACAAGAA